TCGAGAAAACTTTTGGGTATCATATTTTAACGGAAATATCCGTTTTTGACGATTACGGAATCCATGTGAATTATTTTTTGGGCTGACGCCTGTACGTACGAACACAATGAAAGACTCTCTCTCTCTCTCTTTTTTTTTTTTTTTTTTTCAAAAAAAACTTATTGTTAAATGTAATCCCATTTACTCTAAGCTGATACTTATGACTAATGATTATGACTCTAAGTTGATACTTGAAAGGGATTTTTTTCGTGATGTGTAAGTACGTATATATGCATTTTGCATAACTCAAAAACGGTTAGTTATAGAACGTTGAAATTTTGTATATGGGTCCGTTATAACATCTAGATGTGCACCTCCCTTTTTATTGCAATCGGTAATACTACCAAACGTAAATATGTATATATATATCAAATAAATTATAATTAAATGTAAAGTACACACACACACATACTTTGCATATATATAATATATATATAATAATAAAAGCCAAGTAAGGCGAAAATAAAAGCTTTGGCTTTTATTTTATTTAATTATCACTAAATAAGTTACTTGACTTTTATTTTCGCAATCATTGGTTGTAGTCAGGACTTAATTTTTAAAATTAGAAGTGCTGGAGCTCTATGGAAGGCCATCAGGAAAGATGAATAAATAAATAAATAAATAAATAAAAATAAATAAAATAACTATTACAATAATAAAATAATTAGCAACTAGAATATTAAATTATTATTATAATTCAATAAAAATTTAAAGACAAATGAAAATTTAATTCTTAAATTAATGATGAATAACTAAGTAATGAAATAAAATACCAGACATCGTCTTGTTTGGGGGCTGTGGCTAAAATTGCAATTTAAGAACTAAGCCGAGCATTAGCTAAATTTAGGCTTTTGATGAGCAAATAATGTACTGTTTACCAGAGTATAGATAGAAATTTGGTTATGTAGCCCATTCTTCTAAAACGACGTTTCGTAGCTGCCTTCCACCACCAATTCCTTTTTTTTTTTTTTTTTTTCGGTTTCGGTTTATTCGGTTACAGCAAAGCACACTAGGGCTATTGCCTACGGGGAGGGAGGCCTTCGTGTAGGATTTTTTAAAGGGAACTGACTCATATGCAAGTTACACACGGGAATAACAATGAAAACGCCCGTGCAGCTAGCCGTTAGCCGGGAATTGAACCCCGGACCGAACTATTAGTGCTCAGCGACTTTACCGCTCGAGCTCTGGTGGGCTCTTTTTTTCTTTTCATTCGCTGTTTGAAAAAACGGGTGTTCACTTTACGATAAAGTAAGCACCTGTTTACTTCAATTAAAATGGGTTAGACGATATGACTCTTCCTACTTTAATCTCACTTAGCTTTTGATTTCTAATATTGATTCAATGTTTTCTGTAGACAAAGTATTCTGATTAGAATAATAGATTTCAAACATGTTCAAAAGGTGTGTATCTGAATATAATTAGGTTTTTATAACATAGGGCCCATTTTATTAGTTTCACATAGTTCTAAAGCAATTGAACCACAGCATCGCTGTTTTGAAAGAAAGTAAAAATGTGAGAAATGTATAATGAACATTAATATACAAGCTTTATTAAAAGTAGTCAGCCTTTTAAAACGTGACCGTCTATGCTTTTAGAGGATTTTTGGAGCTCTGTGCATTTGCTCTGGCATCTTAAAAAAGTGATGTTCAATATCAACGTATGTTTATGTTCTCAAAAATACAGGTTTCTTTCAGAAAGCGACCTCTTAGAAGTCGTCAATAAATGATTCAGTATAGTTATTTTCTAATAGACCATAGAATAAATTTATTTTAACGTCAATTTAAAAATGGCTGCTGCTTGTACTAAGAGTTAAGAGCAATAAGACTCTAATTTTTCTTTCGCAATTAGCTATCATGCCAGCTGAATTGTTTTCTGCATAACCTTTATTGTGTATAATTGAAATATTTAGCTAGCTATGCATTCAACAAATATACAACAAATGTAAGACAAATCATTTAAAAAATTAAAATTTGGAACATTAATGATAATTTTTTGTTATACATAAAATATTATTAATGAATGATGAATTTATATCATATTATATATAAATCAAAATTTAAACTCCTATTCCTTTATAATAAATTGAAGAAAAGCTATAAAGTGAATTAATTTTTTTTAAAAACAAAACGAAAAAATTAAAAAAAAAAAAAAAATTTGTCATATACCTAGAATCTAAAAATGACGATTACTGAATTTTACGACTCATGTGTGTATTTAATTATGGCAAAGCACACTATGGCTATCTGCCTAAGGGGGATGCCTTCGTGGAGGACTTTCTAAGGGAAACTGGCTCGTATACACGTTACACATGGGGAAAACCACGAAAACACCCATGTAGCCGGACCGTTCGCGGGATTCGAACCTCGGACCGAACTACCAGTGTTCAGCGACTTTACCGCTCGGCCGCTGGTGGGCCGTTTTACGACTCATATAATAATAAATGCATGTTCATATTGTAACAGAAATTTTGTTAGAAGTCTAGCATATGTATAGTTATTTGTGATCTTTTAAAACTGTCGTAACATAATGCATATTTATCATTATCGTGAATCAAAACAGTATGCTTTACATCCTTACACGAAAGAGTAGATCTTAACAACCATTACGTAGTTCTGTTTGATTTTTGCATCATTTATTATGTTTTGTAGGTTAAAACCCTTTTTTACTTTTGCAAGATGTTATGTAGTTCCTAAATTTTAAATCAATTCCTGGAAATTTTAAAAATTACAAGGGAATTTTAAAAAAAAAATGCGAAAAAAATATGTAAACTCCTAATCAGTCACAGAAATCAACCAGTTATGCTTAAACAGGAAACTGACTCAGTTTTCTGTTGATACTTTGTGCTGAGCCAAGGTTTACTTTTTGTGGACAAAAGAAAAGTATTGTACGTTTTCAATTAGTGATCATGGATGATGAAAGAAGCCGCCAGCCAAGGTAGCCAGCTACTAAAGACAAACAGAACTTCTTATTTTTCAACAATCGCTCTTTTTTTCCCCTAAACTGCGCCCATGCTTTCATTGTTTCTGTAAAGCAGTACTATTTTAGCTTCCGTTTCGGAAGATCTTATTTTAGAAAGACTCAGCCGAGCTGTTTTTCCTCGAAAAGACACGCTGCGCGAAATCAAAACAATTGGTAGCAGCTGTGGGCCGACAATAAAACATAAAAATTAACCTAGTTTTTTTTTTTTTTTTTTTTTTTTTTTTTTTTTGAAGAAAAGGAAAAAAATAAGTGCAGAAGGTAGAAAGTGAAAACATTAAAAAATATCCATAGATTCTTCCAGACCTAAACAGAATATTTTTTAGGGATACTGTAATGTGTATCTTCTTTATATTACATCATATTTCTATATAGATGATGACAAAGTACGTTGCAGGTAATGTGCTTTACTATAACAAGGGTTTATTACGATGGTAATAGATATTCGTTTGCTGTCATGTCCTGTTTCTTCTACAGTTATTTTAACTTCTTTCTGTAGAAATATAAAAATCAGAAGATTCAGAATTAGAGCATTATAACCTAATCGTTTTAGAGTGAGATTTCATATAAACTGACGGCCCATTTTATTTTAGAAAATTAGTGATTAAATTGCATTTAACCTCAAAGAACATGAAAAGTGTAGCAAAATGTATTAGATGATTAGATTTGTGAAATGGGTAATTTATTTTCAGTTAATATAATCAACACTTACAGATGCGGGATGTATACAGAGCAGTATGCCACGTGATAAGTAATTCTTGAAAATTGAATTGGTGAGAAGAATTTCATAATTTTTTAAAAAAAAACAGTTCACAGTCTGACTGCTTTTGAGGTTCCAGGAATTAAAAGTTAAAATAGTGTGGTAGCAGTACAAATATAAATAAATGGCTTGCTTAGTGAGAAATGATTTCCTCAAAATGAGATGAAAAACATTAAAGAGATAATCATCTTAGATGTTATTCACATGTCAAATGATTATTTTCCAATGCTATACAGCAGTTTTTTTATTGTTTTGGAATGGTATCAAGTGTTATGAAATAATTATTATTTACCGAATACGGACATCATGTACACCATTTTAATAAATTTTCATCCATTAATTATATAGAAATTACTACGCACTTTAGTTTCTATAATCATATATCAAATGTTTAATATATTTAGTAACTAAAAATTTAATAAATACATAAAGTATTCGCAGGACTATGAGAGTTAATGTTGCGGCAATTGATTGACATAATGTGTCAGAATCTGTAAATATATAGTTTTTGTTAAAAATATTTTAATAAATTTATTTATTAAGATCACTTCTATAAATTGAATCTTATGGCTTTAAAAATTTTCCCCGGAAAAGAAAACCCTACTTTCTCTTGTGTAGTAAAATTGTTATTGCGACATACTTAAGTGCATTTTTGAGAAAGATCCAAGTAGGAACAAAGAAAGGTATTAACAAGAAATATGGCCAAGATGGATAAAACTCAAGAGAACTTTTACGAAGAATAAAGACACTTTAATTAAATGATAAAAAATTACGTCTTTTTTAGCTTTACAGCATTTCTTCTTTAACATTGTTTACATATAACTAAGCTTTACCAAAAATAACCATAGCATCCGTTAAAAAAATAGAGATATATCAAACTACTAGAAAATAAACTGGTGACTACATGCACTACTAGAAAATAAACCGGTGACGATCTTCTTATAGTTGTTTAGCATATAAGTGAATATTTTTTATTTTTAAGTGGCGCTTTTTTTTTTTTTTTTTGGTTGTTGTTGTTGCTGTGAAAAGAATATAATAAATAAATATTATTAGAAATTGTAAGAAAAACCTTCCTTACATTGTTAAGTTATCTCTGAGAAACACGTTAATGCAAATGCTTGGATTCTATTTGCTAATGATTAAAATAAATGTTTAAATACCTTTACCATGAGACAAGGAATTCAGATATTAGTATGAAATTAAGTGATTACAAAATGAGAAATAATTTCATAATATTTATTCGTCCACAGTTCACGTAATAACATACATTTTATTAGAATTTACAAATGTGTCTCTCTTCTTTTAAAAGTGTTTTATAATACCTTTTTTAATTCATAAAGATCAAGTCTAAATAAGTGACCATACGAATATCGAATACTTTTTACAGAAGCATATGATTATTACGTTATATACAGAATTCTCAGGATATTTAAATAGGCAGTCAACAAAAAACTGAAAAGTAATAAAAAATATATATACTAATGAATCATTATTTTTGTCCAAATGGCGTTCAGTTACATATAGAGTGACATTTCAGTTTCAAAGTGATTTAATGTATGCAATGGAAATAATAAATATTTTTAATTCCTTAACTTGAAATTCATTACCAATGCCCTTACTCAGCGTACGGCACAGATATGAAGAAGATTAACAAATGAAAATCGTGCGTGAGTTAAAATCTTGTAGGGAATAAAAGTGGCACAATTAACCCGTATTTCCAAAATAATAATTTGAGATAAAAATTGTAGTGTAATTGATGATCTATAATGCAGTATGAATGACGCCTTATACTGGATGGTTCTTGAACGCCCTTCAGATCTTTGATGAAGTTCGTCTGATGCAGCAAATCGATCTGAAAGTATAGTCCGTCTTGCTGTTACATCAGGTAACTATCAACACATCAGTGTTTCTTCTCAAATCCATTTGCTTTCCTCTTCTTTTTGCCTTTGTTTGGATATTTTTATTGAAATAATTCATTTACCATCCTTCTCTTAGCGTAGAAATGCTCTTCTTCAACCTAAGGAGCAGTGGACAGTAACTTAAGACCCAAACTCGAAGAGCGCCAAAGTAACAGCTCCAGGGTACTTGATTACTGATTATTCAATCAGAAAATCCACTACCCCTTTGGTGCATTCTATTCAAAAACTCGAAGGCATCCTGGGTTATTTGAAACATAGAACTGATCAAAAGAAAAAGGTTTCATCCCATATCGTCATCATCTTCTTGGTCTTTGATGATCCCAATTCGTCTGCCGCAACTTCTCACTTTGTGAATAACTTCTTCTTGCATCAGGTTGAAGCACATGGCGATCAAAGCCATTCCGAAAAGAAGGTAAAGGGAACACATGACCAGTTTTTCTTGGGATCCACTTTCTGATATCACCGAGTCTCCTGGTACTAAATCTCCAAATCCTGTAAATAAAAAACTTGACTTGAGTTTTTTTATTTAACTTTACATCATTACAAAAACCCATGTTGGCACAAATGTAATCTAACCTCTCGCATAGAAGGAACCTGAATTTTTCAACATGTTTCCCCAAATAAGTAAGCATTGGATGTAAGATAGGCTTACATACATTAGCTTGATAAAAGGAAAATATTTCATTAAAAATAATTTGAGTGCCTAAATATCAAATCTTGAAACATAACCAACTAGGTAAATCTTCGTTTAATCTAAAATGTAGATTATCTTAACATATTTTTTAAATTTTAAGGTATGCGCATATATTTTTTAATTTAAGATAAGCTAGAATGGTTTTCAATTTAAGCTTTAGATAAGAAACAATTCACATTGTGCCAGTACCTTAAAAGACTCTTTAACTGACCTTCTTTAAATTAATATCGGGCCAATACCTTAATTAGAATACCTTAATTCGTTAATACCAGAACTTCTAAAATTTTACTTAAAATTATTTCCCAAACGGGCAAAGAGATCTGTCTACAGGCATAATATTAAGATTTCGATTGTTAGAGAATTTAGAAACATTTTAGTGTATGAATGTTAAAGGAAAAACATATAATTTGACTTTCTGTTTAAATAATGTGTAAAGCAATATGCTTTGGAAATAATTATATGATTTTTGCGTATCACAACGTTTAGTGTTTCAAAAAGAAAGAGAAATAAATAAATTTCTTTGCTAAATCTTAACGATCTCATTATTTTTTTATAAAAAATCAATATTTGACTTTAATAACAAACGAAACAAAAGCAGACTGACTATAAAAAAATTTCGAAAAATTTTTCCCTCTTATTAGCTACAAAACTGAAAGATATTTCCATAAGCTCAACTTTCGAATTATATTCATCCGCTTCAATAAAATTTGCTATTCATGATTCAAAGATCTTATGTCCTATTTTAGATCTTAAAAAATCCGCAGTATTTCTTTAAAGTGTGATTTAATAAAGAAAATCAAGCTAGTTTAAAGCTTTGCATTAAATAATGTTGATGTCATACCAGGAAATAGATATTTGTAAATTTGCCATCGATAACGGCTGTTGTACTTTAATATTTTTTTAATTTTAATTCTATGATAATTATTTTAAAACAAACCTTCTCTAGTTAGTAAAATATATTTCACTGAATCTTGCCCATATATTTAAATACACCAATTTGAATGAATATTTTAGCCCTTAAACGTATTTCAAATTCTTTTAAAAAGCGTGAAACATTTCTAAAAATTAATGCCAATCTAAGGCTGAATTTTGCATAATTTTAATTTTTCCACATTTAATTGATAACAGCATCAATACTAGTTAAGTATATGTTTTGGTACTTTAATTTATTACAGAAAAATACAATTATTTTTACATGCTTTTTGTGTTCATGAATATGTACGAGCTTAAGAGAACTAAAACTGTATTTTTACAATTTTAAGCGGCAAGTCTCAGGTCTTTATTTAAGAGAAAGGGAAGTCTATATTTAAATGTAATTATTTTAGAAATAGAGAATGCATAAGATAACCAACTGGCATTACTTCCATTTCTCTAAAAAAGAAAAATGAGAAAAAAAGAGAGGAGGCGACACGAATTATTAACTTCATTTTCAAAGTACCTATTCGTTAATAAATCTCTAAATAAAGTTATAGGACCTGAATTACATAAATGTATTAGTAACAGGCCCGTTTAAATTAGAACTTTAATGCAAGTAAAAATCTCTCATGTGTTACAAAATGCTAGGCAGTAAATTTTGAACTGTTACCTTATATTTTATAAACATATTTACAGACATTCGTAAGTAAATAAAAGTAAAATATTTGCAAATAATAAAGCATTTAATCTATTACTGTGAAATCTGATAATGCTCTCACGTTGACGTTGACGGTTTTGCGTTCCAGCATCGTTTAGTGCGATAATTCCCCCCCCCCAAGTGGTCTTTTTTTCCTCCGGTTTTCATTTCATCTTTAACTGTTATTTTTTCTTTTCATAGTGAACTTAGCGACAACAAATCCAAGTTTTAATCAAATGAGTAAGAAATTTAGCCCATCTTTCGAAATTCGTAAAAGTTTCATTAAATTTTTCAATGTATTTAAATAGTTTTCGCTTTTGTAAATATGAAGTGTCAAAATTATTATTTTACTAAAATTTTTATTATTCAAAATTCTATAATGGTATCAGTTTCCCATTTGATATAGCTCTGGCAGTTGCTTTAATCATATGTAAATATCAGTAAATTTAGAATCAAATTTCAAACTTAACTGAAATTTAAATTTAAGGCAAAGTAACCGATTAAGTTACTTTGCCTTATAAACCACACGTATGATAACACTTTTCATATAATTACGAAAGTTTACATTTCCAAATTATCAGGAATTCCTATTAATATTGGATCAAACTGTTTCCAAATAATTTAACACTGTACGATAATTTTGAAGCTTTTCTCCCTCTGGTGGTACCTTCGAAGCTTTTTCTACCTAATAATTTAAATATTTTTAATTTCCAATAAATTGTTTTCATATATCTCCAAGGCTAAACATCTCTGTTGCATAGCTTTGAATTCGCACTGAGTTAATAATTAATCCATTCAAAAAATGAATCAGTTCACCTCTCTGCGCTTACCTATGGTGCTAAGAGTAACAAAACAGAAGTAAGAGCCATCCAGAAAGTCCCAGCCCTCCCAAAGGGAGAAAAGAACCGCTCCTCCGGATATATAGCCAACCAAAATGACCATGCAAAGAGTAATTGGGACAGAGACTCTTGTTTTGCCGCTGTACTCATCTTCCCGGTAAAGGTCTTCCGGTATTGGCTCGATACGCACCTGAAATCAAATAATTTTATTAATATTAATAGCATTTCCTTTTCAATGCAAGGATAAGTTTTTTATGAAATAAACAATATAGCGAAAGCTTAATAATTGTTTGTCGGCACTTATGTAATATCCCATCTAACGCGAAAAGGGTCGCCAAGTAGCGCAATTTAGCGCCCGTTATAGATATGGTTACAGCTGAAAACATCGCGACAAATACATCGCGGACGAAAACGTCGCGGAGAAAACAACGCAAGGCGAAAACGTCGTGCTACAAAACATCGTGGGAGAAAATATCGCAAAGAGAAAAACATCGCCAGTCGCTAAACATCGTGGTACAAAACATCGTCGTCGAAAATAAAGCGGTTCAATAACATCGCAGTTTAAAAACATCGTCGTCGAAAATATCGTGGTAAAAAATAATGTATCTACAAATCATCGCATAACGATAACATCGCAGACATGCTTTTTTTCATGGAAAGAAGGATAATTTTTACTTTCATACTTTTTATTCACTAATAAATTTTTGCTGAGAAAATAAGAAGGAAACTTAAGCATAGAAAATTAATGCAACTTGTATCACTCAATAGAATTTTAAACCGACATAATTAACTAACAAAGGCCATTAATAAATCCTTTTTATAAAGTTTTTACTGGTAATTTTTCATAAAAAGTATAATGTATAAGTTGCCTTAAATTAATTAATGCAATAATTTAACTTTTCAGCAAAAATTTATTAGTCAATAAAAAGCTGTGAAGTAAAAATTATCCTTCTTTAAATCTTGCGCCCACAAATACTTATGAGAACCATATTTCCATTTAGAGTTTATTAAAGCCTGAAAGAAGCATGTTTGCGATGTTATCGTCATGCGATTGTTTTGTAGATACTTATTTTTACCACGATATTTTCGACGACGATGTTTTTAAACTGCGAAGTTTTTGAACCGCTTTATTTTCGACGACGATGATGTTTGTACCACGATGTTTTTAGGGCTGCGATATTTTTCTTTGCGATGTTTTCTCCCACGATGTTTTGTAGCACGATGTTTTCGCCTTGCATTGTTTTCTCCGCGACGTTTTCGTCCGCGATGTATTTGTCGCGATGTTATCGGCGGACACCATAGATATACGTGGCGTAACCACACTCTTATAACATCTGCGCTTTTGTTTAATCTGCATTTTAATCATAGCATTTGCGCTTTTGTGCGTAGTTTTCTCTTTTGTCGTGCTTTTTTCTTTACTTTAAACTTCTCAGAATATTTAGCCCTGCAAGAATTACTTGTCTATTAGCAATTCAAAACATTAATTTTCAAAGCTAGATTTTATTTCCAGCTTAGATCTTCAGAAAATATTATTTGATACTAGAAACTTCTCCTTTAATGCACTAAATAAAAGCATTTAAAAGAAGCTATACAATTTTCAAAACTATTTTCAAGCATTTCTGAATAAAAATATTCAAGTCGATGTTTTATTGCGAATCCCAATCATTTGAATTTTTCTAAATGCACTTTTAAGAGTAACACACATCTAAACAAGATTACAAAATCTATATTCTTTAGGTATATATTTAATAAATGTATATTAATTAGAATATTTCTTCACTTTATATTGATTTAACTCGTCATACTTATGAATTTTCTTACTGATGTGAAAAGCCTTCTTCCTTTATTTTATCCCTAGAGTAGAAGCAGACACTGCAGAATGTTCTTTGTCATAACCTTTCCGCGTACTAATGCAGTTCAATTCATGCGAAGAAAAGAGGCATTGGTGAAAGGAAGTAAAGTGCAATTTAACTAATGGACCAAGAAATGCATGTTAGAAATCTGCCTCCAGGGTGGTGTTATACCAAATGATAGGAGAGTCCATTTGACATTTTGTGAATTTCAGCAATTCGTTATAAATTGTATTATTAATGTTTTACCAAAGTTAAGACTTAAGGAAAAGATGTTAAATTAATATTTTAGATCCTTTGTGAATGTGAGTCTATATTTTGTAAATCAAACAATTTTTTGAAACAGGTAAGTATAAAACATTTTTCTATATTTCAAATACCGGGATTAAATGACAAGCGTCAAAACACAGGTTGCCCATAGTAGATGTTAAAATTTGGCGTGATAATCTTAATCTTCTATAAAAGAAAGATTGTCACTCTGCGGAGTTATTAGTTCTCTGATAGCAGGAAACACGAAACATTAACTGTACCTTCTTCGAGAACTGAACTCGAGACTTCCTAGGTGTGCTGACTATTGCGCTACTTGGAAGAATGGTTGGAAGAATTTTAATTCTGCCAATTTTAATGCTTTAAAAAGTTAACTCGTGGTAGAATGTGAGATCAGTCGATTAACCTATGCCTTAGTGAGGAATTATCATCTATTAGATTTTAATTGGAGCATCACTATAGAATTGTTATGTTTTAGGGATTAGGAAATACTAATAGCGCTCTCGATGGATCTGAATCTGAGATTTTTCAGTTGCCCCAGGTGTATCTGCTAACCACTACATCACAAGCAAAAGATGAGAAATGTCTTGCACTTCTTAAAAATCTAGCTACGTAAATGTCAATTAACGAACTGGCTCTAAACTGTGTGTTCAGGCAAGTTATGAATTCATTTAGGCGACAGTCCAAGCTTCTAGACATTTAGTTCTGTTCTCAAAGGGTTGTTTGAAACGATACAAGTATTAAAGACGTATATCAGTTTTTATTGATAGTATGACGGAATAAATGTGAAGAATTTCCACATACTATCAAAAAAAATACTTTGATTTTATTTCCTCTACCGTATACCAAGCATTAAAATACCAACCTGTGAAGGACACAGATTATAAAATATAAAAATAGGATATTTTTAGGATTTCTGTGACTGAAATATGCAAATACGTTATAAAGGTGCTGGCATCTTAATCGAATCTACTGTTATTAATGTTTATGCAAATCATTAATCGCACTGTTTACGCAGATCGGCCACAGAAACATTAACATGTGTGCTCATCATAAACTTTCACCTCATTCTTATAAAGAACAGTGAACAGTAAAAAACGAATCTTCATAAAGGCCCGGAAACCTTTCATGCCTGCAACTATTATGGGTCCCGAGAAGTAAAATTTTCATTTGCAGTGCCAATCAAAGGATCATGCTACACCTTACCTACATAATGGTGCCCAGGCATAAAGCTGCCCGCATCTTTGCTAAGGATCTCTTTTTTATCGGAGCACCCTTACAAAGATGTTTAGCCAACTGGAATAGATGTGTCGGCACATTTATGACGGGGTAGGTATTATTATGAAGTGGTTCTAAATTTTGCTTATCGGTAAGCAATAAGTTGAATTGGGATACAGGTCATTAAATGAACTGAATTTCAGTTTTGTTCCTGAAAGATATTCTAAAATCTCTGTCTCATCTTGACGGAGGGGTATCACTGTATCACTAGATCGAATTCATGAAGTACGTCAGAAGTTTTATCCCTTGGTAGGGCCACTTAGGCGTGAAGGTCATTCCATTACACCGAGCTAAAGCAAGCAGGCAACGGAGTGGTGCTAGCTTTCTTCCTTCGAGTGCTTCGGTCTTCAGGAAGGGCCGTTCACGTTGCGGTTTATCTGAGTTAACGGAAACTTTTGACACAACCGAGGCAGCATTAAAGCCAGTTCTTCTTCATAGACCGAGTCGAAAACATATTGAACTACATAGTTAAAACTGAAAAAAAAAAGTCATCGTTTGATATTTGCTAGCTTAAATATACCCCTAATGGAAATGTGTAAATAAATAATGCTCTAAATCTCATGCATTTGATTGCTTGAATGGCTTTTCGGCAGGTGTAAGATTCTTTTATTATATAAATTTTGGGAAAAACTGTAATAATAAACTTTTACAAAATCACTAAGTTTAGGGGAAACGTGTAACAGAAACAAGTCTTGGCGAAATCAGATTAAGTATTTTATTTACTTGCGGTCTTTTCTCGGTGAATGGACTATAATTTGTAAATGTTGATGAAGAACTGTAATTTGTGAATGTTGTGCAGCAGCATTTAGTCGTTTTAGATGGTTAACTTTACGGAGAAAGTTGAGCTATTAACAAATTCGATGAGATTTTAGTTTTGCTTTTATTTCGTTCTACATTATTTTAAAATAGATCACGTAAGACATCTTTATAGGATGATTTTCAGCCTCATGTTCATTTATATTTCAATAGCTTTTCCGCAGCTAATCATAACCCAAGTTTTTATTTTCTTCGGTTATGATTAGCAGATCTACATAATGTTTACACCTTTATTTATTTGATTTTAATCCAAACCTACACATCTTTCTCGAATTAATTTTAGCATTTTTTTCCTTATGTGTACTTCAAAAATGCAGTTATGATCTTGAAAATCAATACAAATTTAACAATAAAAGGAAAACATTCAGTTAAAAATTGCATACGAAAAACGCTTTTAGCAAATTATTGGCGGTGTTTTTTTATTAGGTCATATATTATTAACTTGCTTCAATTCAAAAGGATATAAAATACTTGCCCTTTCAGAGAGTATTAAGGTTTCATCTTGAAATAGAAGAAAAAAAGTTTTCTTTTTTAACAAGATGCACAATTTGAAGACATAGATCAATTTTTAGAATTCAAGAAATGTACTACATTCAATATTCTGAATTCAGAATTTGCCTCAGGGAATAACGTACCTGATCTTCGTAATGTAACAGTTAATCATATAGTTTACTAAAGAAGTGAAATTTATAGTTTTAAATTTCAAGAAAATTGTTTCCAAATTAAATAAATTTAAATATTTTATTTTTCAATTAAACTTTTAATATATCCCAACATTCGAATTATTTTAATTTATGCGAGTTGTTTTTCTTTATAAGCTAAGAGAAAGAAACTTCTGTAAATCAGAATTTCAACTACTAATTTCTAAATACTGCATTTATAACATTTCCAGTTTCAACTTTATTTCAAGTTTAATGGCTCACCACCGGCCGAGCGGTAAAGTCGCTGAACACTGGTAGTTCGGTCCGAGGTTCAAATCCCGCGAACGGGCTGGCTGCATCGGCGTTTTCGTGGTTTTCCCCATGTGTAACGTGTATACAAGCCAGTTTCCCTTATAAAGTCCTCCACGAAGGCATCCCTCCCCTTAGGCAGATAGCCTTCGAGGGCTTTGCCATAATCACACACACACACATTCAAGTTTAATGTCAGCAGTTATAAAATAGACTTTAGCCTAAATCTGCCGATTTATCAAATACAAGTTATGGAAAATGTCACCAAAAAGTAATTAAAATAAATTTAAGTGCTGAAAAATGCAATAAGTTTTAAAGTAAGTTATATTTTAAAGCCAGAGTAGTAAATTATTTAGTCTCACGAGAAACGTTTAGAGTAAATCCAGAAGAATAATTTATTCTATCATTCATTTAATCTGGCACAGTTGTGGATAAAATATATCCACAAACTTCTCGGCCTTAAATTGAATGTAAGACACGTACTTTTGCCCGAAGAAAACCACAAATCCAGGTTTCAAGCAAAATGAACCTCTCTCTCAATTTCAGCTGATGTGATAGCTTACTATCATGTGATACATTCTACATCAATTTTTTATTCATTTTAAAAAAGTCATCATTTTCCAAGAACTTAAAACAGTTTACTCGATTCATAATGGAAAGTTTCAGCAAGCAGCTGCCACAACTGAAAATATATCAGTAATAATAATAGCATGAAGTCTCACGTTCTGTCCAAATGAAATCCCTAAGTTGCTGCGCTTAGAAACTTGATTTAATTCACCAAGAGAGTTAACCTTCCCCTACATCGCCCGATGTACCATTAGATGATTATATAATTATATGCTAGTTCATGAACAGGATATCATTATCTCGACATATGGTAAAGGCGTTGACTGATACTCATCACTTACAGCGCAACTACGCCAATCAACTGGATATCTATATTAAAGGTATTCTGAGGATTCAATGATAAATCTCCGTTCTGCCAATACCAACCGTGCATGCTTTCTGGTAACGACGAAACTGAAGCTGTCTCAAAAAAGATTAGTTTTAATTTCAAAAAGACTTAAGAACTCTCCAACTATGTATAGCAAAATTTAGCTGACGAAACATGGTACGTATTTTTAAGCACATAGTAGCATATAATTAAAAGTTTGATGTGGACATCACATGACTTCTGTGCACGGCCTATTAAATTACACACAATTTTTGCATTTCATTTAAAATTATTTCCTTGCTTTTCATTAGAGATCTATTTCTCATTCAATTAGTTCAGTTCTCACTTCGCAGCAATTAAAAACTAAAATTGTAAAATACAAAAAAAAAAAAAAAAAAAAAATTAAAACACCAAATACAGTTATTCTGAGCTAACTTAAGAAAATGAAATCCAGAAATTTTTCAAAAGTTCCTTTTATATTGAGCGCTCAACCTATATCTCTAAAGTTATATTCAAAAGTAAGATTTCAAATTTAAAATAGTATCATAGCTAAAGTTGCTAGTAGCATATCTTACCTCATCTTCGGTGATATGCGACAAAGGTGGTGGAGGAGGTGGTGGAACACTGAGATGGAATTTCTCGTCCATTTCCAGACCATACCTAGCTGAAGATGAAGCGTTTCCAACTATACGTTGCACTCGATAATTTTCCGCCATATGGCGTCTTCGGCGAGATTCACTTCCGAGATTTCCTGCTCCATCACCTGTGCAAGCGCAGGCCCTGCTGTACAAATATCTAAAGGCTTTTGCCAATATGTCACCTATATTTGTGAGGTAAAGAAGCATGAGAGGAATTCCAACGATGGCGTAGAAGATGGTGGCAATTTTGCCGGACGAAGTCCTGGGCGCGATGTTGCCATAACCTGAAAATATTTTAATAATAAAGTTTCACCGAATTAATTCATCATAATGTTAGAAACGAATTTATTTACCTAAAATAAATAAAACTTTCACCTGGAAACAAATGCGTCATAACAAATGAATAACATAAAATTATAGTTTCTGCAATACAAAGTAAATAATATGTCTTAGGTATGTCTGTAATACAAAGTAAATATTGCGCCAGTAATTATTTTGAAAGCATAAAGCATACATAATCAATAACAGATTAAAAAATGCCGAGGTTCATTAGGCAGTATAATTTAAGTCAAAAGATAAGATTAGCATAAAGATTAGATAGATTAGATTTGTGGTAAAAGATAAAGTTAGGGTGATTTTACTATTTCTACATCAAAGGCATTGAAAACTGCATGCCGTTTAGTCATTGTTAATAAGCGAGAAAATAAGAAATATTAAGTGAAATTTTTTAACTACTCTAATTTAGACAAGTTAGTTCGGAATTCAAAAGTTAAATACGTGCAGAGAATCAAAATATTAGCATATACTGTGTAATGCTTTGCATAATAAGAAGGTTTGAAAGGTGAATTCCTTTCAGAAAAACACAAGTTAAAATTGTATTCTACATAAAGCCTGAAGTATATGAAAAAAGAAATGAAGATAAGTAATTCTCTGCACTGAAGAATTTACAATTAATACACGATGAATCAGTTCAGTATAATTGGCAAATTAAGTACATATACAGTGGAATTTATGTATGTATATAATTATACGCAAATGCTATGCATTCATAAAGAGCACTAAAAATTAAATGTTGGTGTTCGCCTTCAATTTGATGGAGAACCCTCCGGGGGGGATGGATCCGAGGATCTGGTGTCAGCAGAAAACATCGCGGACGGAAACTTCGAGGAGAAAACAAGGCAAGGATAAAATGTCGTGGTACAAAACATTGAGGGAAAAAAGAAAGCAAAAAGAAAACATCGCAGTTCTAAAACATGGTGGTACAAAATATCGTGGTCCAAAATAAAGTGGTTCAAAAACTTCGCAGTTTAAAAACATCGCCGTTGAAAATATTACGGTAAAAAATAAAGTACTTATAAATTATCGCATGATGATAACATCGCACACATGTGATTTCAGGATTTAAAAGTTGTAAATGAATGTTCGCATAATGATTTAGGACGGTTTATGAAGTTTTACTGTTCATATTTTTATGCAAAATACAGTTAAAAATGCTTAGAAAAGGAAGATAAGCAACTGCATGAGGTCACGTCCTTTATTAAACATCTAGTTAACCTCCAAACAAACGCATAAATTCTACAAAGATTCTGAAAGCGACGGTTACGGCTTTACTTAGTTTCTTAAATGTTGCTTAGTTAATTATCAAATTATTTTCTTTGACATTTGTTAATCTGATATTGTTTTAGTGAAAATTATATTTGGTTTCGTTTTCGTTTATTCTTAACATGTCGTTAATATTTTCATGTATAAATTTTTGGATGTCGATTTGTTAGTTATGACGAAAGTCACTTACATAGCATGTCAATATGGGACTTCCAAAACGCATGTGTGCGATGTTATTGTTATGCGATGATTTGTAGGTACTTTTTTTTTACCACGATATTTTCGACGACGATGTTTTTAAACTGCAAAAATTTTTTAACTGCTTTATCCCGATATTTTGTACCACAATGTTTTTTCTTTGCTTTCTTTTCTCCCACGATGTTTTGTACCATGACGTTTTCACCTGGCGTTGTTTTCTCCGCGACGTTTTCGTTCGCGATGTTTTTGCCTCTATGTTTTCGGCTGTAACCGAGGATCTGCAACTCATTTTCCCCTACCACCAAGGTACTGCTTTGCCTAGAATTTTAAGTGACCCCATGCCGTACATACACAATACGCTTGCAAACACCCATGCCTTCTCCAGGATTCGAACCAGGACCTAGCGATACAGTAGCCAACATCGTTAACCACTATACCCATCAGGGAGGCTAACAAGGGAAAAGCTCAATTTTGGAAGTCTTTTAACACCATTTTATTTTGAAAAAAATTATCATTTTTTTCGTGCAAGAAAATTACTCACGATGAAGTATCAAGAAAAACGTAGTAACTTTTTATGAATATTCGATTGCATTAACGTTAACCCTTAACGTTTTGTGTAATCAACCTACTTAATAACAACTTTCTGGTATGTTTGTTATTTAGGTAAGTTCCACCCAGCCTTTGTATATACTCATTTGGCTTGACATTTACATATACCCAACAACTTTCTTTCTTTTCGCCATCGACGGAACAGCTGGCTCACTGGGTTAGGTGCTTTTCAGCCTGTTGGATCCCTTCGATGGAATTAAAAATAAATACATGAATAAATATAAATAAAGAGCTTAGTACTGTGGCCTCCGGAAATTGGCCACGAAACGAGGAACATTGAAATAAGGACCAGAATATGGAAAGAAGGTGCATGGTGGGGACTGCTGATACGCAACAAGTATAAACATCCACCTAAGTGCATTAGGAGAGACATGGGTAAATTGATTGCATTTCTTTTGCTTTACTTCTCGTTGCTCCGCTTCTTTTATGCCAAACTCGGTTTTCTTAGTCTTTTCGGTCTCCTGCCTGATTCTGACCTCCAACTCAGCGAAATCTAAAATTTTTTACCGTTTACCCTAAGACTAAAATAATTACAAATTGCACTTCATATAATATAATATAATAAACACGATCGTATACTCACAAGGGATCGTGGGATTACTTCTTTAGCGTGCCCCAAGTATCCCTTTGCGTACCAACTGAAATACACATACCCCACTTCGGAGAACCACTGTCACCGCTCACTGTAGTATATTCTATAGTTTATAAAAGTATTTTCTTATGAATATAAGTAACTGTTTATGAAATATTAAAGTAAGGGACGGTAACGCAGTCTGTCAAACTAGTGAAATTTGAATATGTGCTCAATAAAAAGTACTTTCCCCCCTCGAAATTTTAAAGAAATGGTGTTCAGAAAAAATATCTAAATTGTCATAAACTATCCATTTATTAGTTTAGTGTGTTCAATATTGTTAGTTTTATGTTTCCAAAGATTTTATTATAAATATCATTTGTCGGTCTTCAAGAAATTAGAAAACAATACAATAAATTAAAGCCTAATAAAGTATTTTTATAATGAGTTGCGCATTATTTCTTGAGGTATTTAAAAATAATATTTTTCCTAAATGTATTTTTTTCAAAATAAATTAAATGGTATGGCTAATGGCCGATTCTCCATCTGCAATATCGTATTCTAAAGCCCCGCTATCGGAGATCGGGAGTTGTACTCTGGTGCTTTGCATGCAGTGAAGCTGTCTCCACTGTTATAGCCTGATAACCTGAAGGCAGTGTCGCTGATTGTTACAGCGTGTGTATTGTAGTTCTTCGACGACTGTGTAAACGTGTTATTGGAGCTGCCCTGATTAATATTGGCTAAATAATGTGTGTTTCGAGTGCTGTCGTCGTTATTCACTCCAAATCCTCACGAAGCCCGTACGAACGTGAAGGAAGAAAATAACGTAAGAACTGATGTCAGAAAATAACGCAACAACTGGTGTCAGAAATGGGATTTGCGAGTGAATGCCAGTGACCCGCCTGCAGAGGAAAGCCATGGCGAAGGAAACGAAGACTTTGATGGACTTTTTTAGCCGAGATCAAGGTTGAACTGAAAGAGATGAAAGTCGAATGTGCTGAGATAAAAGCCGGATGTGCTGAGATAAAAGTCGAATATGATGATATAAAAGCTGGATATAATGAGATAAAAGCTGGATATGAAGAGACGACAGCTGATATGAAAGCTGGAGAGCAACTCCAACAGCTGAAAGTGGAGCTTGCAGAAGAAACTGGAGTCATAAAAGAAGATGCGGAAAAGACGCAAGTGACATCTGAAGAATCAGAGGATGAAGAAATGAAGGAGGTAGCTGGTGAAGTATCCGAGAAAGCTAAAGAAATAAAGGATGAAACATCTTTACGAGATTAAAGAAAGAGAACGAAAAGATGAAGAAAAAGTCGGGGAAGACGCTTCTCATCCTCAGGTGTCCCGAAGTTGAACTGGAAGACAGTGATAATACTGTTTGTAAAGATGAAGAAATAAGCGAAGTGGCTTGTAAAGATTCTGAAAGAGGTGAAGAAATAATTCATGTAAATAAAGTTCCTGATTCTCAAGCGCCTGAAGTGGAAGTGGAAGAAAGTGAAAATGCTTCTGTTAAGTTCAACAAAACTGATAGTGAAATTACGAAGTCGCAGTTAGCAAGAATTGAACCATCTGAAACTGCATGTGATGTAGAGATGGAAGAAGCTGATATACAGCTTAAGCAGTGCGCTCTAGTACTGCAAGAAAATTCACTCACTTTGTAAACTATGTGTGTGTCTCATAGTGCAAATTTTACAGACAAGGACTTGATTCTAAACCCGAATACTTCTGCTTGTCAAGGATCGGATTCTATTCGCGATCCTGGTGCAAACATCGGAACTAGTTCCCAGGAAACGGAGGTAAATGGGCATGTACCAGCGGCTGAAAATACCGAGGTGAACAGTATACGTGATGGGAATAAACTACAGAGGGGTGTACGAATTGTTTTAGATTTTCCTGTGGATGAAAAGCCTGAAAGAACTGAATCTTCAGATTGTGATATGCAAAGCATAAATATATCTGAGAACTGCAGTGGAAGAGTATTTGACCCGGGTATAAATTAATGAAAAGACTGAGACTGAAATTCATTCAGAACTTTAATTTGTATTATTTTAAATTGTTATGTATTTAATTTGCGTATATAACTTGTACATAGTGTAAATATTTGTTTCTTTAGTTATGTTGTTTATTTATATCTTATGTTTGTTTCATTACGTTTTGTTTGTATCGAATTTGGCTTCTGATCAGGGGTTGTAATGCCTGGGACGTGCAGTCCTTGGGAGAGGGCAGTGTTACGAAATGTCCAGACGCGGTGGAATAGCTTCCCCGCAAAGCATAACCTCCTGCCTACCTTTGCCATTGTTGCCACATTTGGTGATATCT